AGAGTCTATCCCTTGAAAAAATGTTGACAATTCATGGTATAAGTAAAACCAACAACATTTGGATCATCTGACTAACACACTGCATCAAAAACAGTCCACTGTAGAGACCAAAAGATGTATAGGATGAGCTTACATTTTGGTTGTTTGGACAGAAAAAAAAAGGAGGAGGAGGAGGATTACAAGAAGGAGAAGATAGAGATGGAGAAGAACAAGAAGATGGACAAGGAGAAGTTTTAGAAGCTAAAGAAGATAGAGAAGGAGAAGATGGTGAAGAAGGAGAAGAAGAAGAAGAGAAGAAGAAGAAGAGAAGAAGAAGAAGAAGAAGAGAAGAAGAAAGAAGAAGAAGAAGAAGAAGAAGAAGAAGAAGAAGAAGAATTCATATCATGAATAGAAAGCAGCAGAGGAGCAAAAGGGGGAGGGAGACAACAAGGTTATTTAGAGAATCAGTTGTCCTATTCCCCTTTGCAGATATTTCCTTATGCCTTGAAGGTTGAATTAATTTCAACAAACAAATATCTTCTAGCTTCTGCTCTACGTTATTTGTACCTTAGAAGCAAAGACAACTTTGATGATCTATTCTAATGTCAGCCTGCAACAGTAAGATATCAATGATATGAAGAGAAACAAACTATCTGTGTTGGAATGGACCTCAAAAATTGTTGAGTCCAGCCTTGCAATCAATGTAAGAATTGTTTCTGCACCACGGTCAGACAACTTCTGCTTGAGGGGAATTGTCTCACAAGCAGTTCATTCCATTGCTATAAAGTTTATTTTCCCTTATACAAGTCAAAAACGGGCTCCTTTCATCACTGGTCTTAGTGATCTGATCTGGAGACTCTCAAGTCTTCACAATGGCCCTTCAAATATTTGAAAATAGACATGCCTCCAGTGGTCTCCTCTATCTCAGTCATTCTTAGTTCATCCATATCTATTGTCTCTGAATTGATCAGTCTCCTTCTGATGTGTTTTAGGAGTGCAGGGACCCCAAAATACCTTGGTTCAGGGCAGAGTTGTCTGTAAAGCATTCACAAACTCAAGCAGTCTTCCAGTCCGAGGTCAAAAATTTTATTGTACCACTATTGTTGCAGGCAGAGCTCCTTAGGGAACTCACAACTTAACAGGAGTCATGATGCTAAAGCTTACATAGGAAAAGTTCAGTGAGTGGTGTGCCAAGTATGCTAATTAGGTGGTGAACATACAGTTTCTTTTGGCACAGGTGTCATTCACTATTGGCATGGCCTGGGAGGAGAGCTTCCAAAGGATCTGTACCTCTATACCTCTACATCTGTAAAAAGATTGCCTGGGGAGTTGGAGTTGATGTCTATAGCTTGACCTCTGGATTGTACATGGTAGTTCTGCTGCTACAAGATAGTCTTGTTCATACAAGGAAAATTCTACAGAGGTCAGCTTTTTCTTATACCAGGAAGAGATAGTTTGCCTTACTGGGGTCCACTCATGAATTACTGTCAGAGATAGGGTCTTTGGACCAGGGAGAGATATGGTCCAAGGGCTGGGGTCTGAGTACAAGTACCCCATCACTTCCTAATATGTAGCATCCATCATTAAACACAACAGGCTGGACTGCGTTTCTTCAGCCCAGAGTCAAATGGAATCATCCTTTGGGATTTCAACATTATTATTCTCTTACTATAGCCTTAGGAGGTTTAATTCTTTTAGCAACTTATGATCAACTAGAACGGGCATATCTTTTTTTCCAGCGAACTGTTGTATCCCCTTCCTTCCCACCATTAATAACAGCATCAATATGCCATTATAATTCTGCAGAGGCTGGGCTTGAACCCAGGGCTTCCTGGCTAACGCCAACTCCACCCTCCCTGTGCCAAGCTCCGTGTCCCATACAAACCATTCCCCCTTCTCCTGAAAGCAAGAAAGGAGAAGGGAGAATCAGAAGAAAGAGGACCTCGACTGTGTTTGTCCCAGGGGATCCAGCAGACCCCCATGACACTTCTTTCAGTCTGGGCTTCACAGAGTCATGAGGGTATGGAAGAGACTTGGGAGGTCATCTAGTACAATGTCTTCTTTTTTACAGAAGAAGAAACCAGAGCTCAGAGAAGAAAGACTATTCCCATCTTCACAAAGAGAAATAACAGAGCGGGTTGCAGAATTGGAGCCTGAGGCCACACCTCGTCCTTGTCCCCACTAAGCTGCTGTGCATCCGTTTTCAGCATAAGAGTGGAAAGAAGCTCCAGCACGCAAAACAGCCTGGAGATCAGCCACTTTCAGATCTCCAGCTATGGGCCCCTCCCACTGAGAACTAACAGAACCAGCACATGCACACTCACCTATGCCTGACTTTATCTTGGGCCCTTGAGTGTCACCCGAGGATGTGATAAATGCACGTGGAATTGTCTCCCTCGAGGCATTGCCAGGGCTACAACCATCTTAAGGCTTGAATCTTCTATAAATGTTGCACGCTCTGGAATCTCTTAACCTCCAGTCTCCGGCCATTGCAGTTTTCTGTAGTGGAGGCGAGGTCCCCGAGAAGGCTGAAAGGCCAAAAGAAAACCTCTCGCGAGAGACTCCCGACCGGCTCTGAAGCCCGGTAGTGAAAATGAAAAAAGATTTTCAGTTTCTGCAGAAAGCAACTGAAATGCAAAAAGGTGAACTTCTATGCCTCAATAAGTAATAGTTTTACCATGTTAACTATATATACAAATTTTAAGCACAATGTTTTTAAATCCATACTCCAATTTTAATAAAAATAATTATACTAACTATAGTCGCAGGAAAAAATGCTCTAAATCATTATTGATTAGACAAATGCAAGTCCAAACAACTCTGAGGTACCACATCACACCTATCACATTGGCCAACATGACAAAACAGGAAAACGATAAATGTTGGAGAAGATGTGGGAACATTGGAACACTAATACATTGTTGGTGGAGTTGTGAAATGATCCAACCATTTTGGAGAACAATTTGGAACTATGCCCAAAGGGCTACAAAAATGTGCATACCCTTTGATCCAGCAATAGCACTTCTAGGGCTATATCCCAAAGAGATCAAACAAATGGGAAAAGGACCCGCATGTATAAAAATATTCATAGGAGCTCTTTTTGTGGTGGCAAAGAATTGGAAATTGGGAGGATGCCCATCAATTGGGGAATGGCTGAGCAAGTTGTGGTATATGAATGTAATGGAATTCTATTGTGCTACAAAAAATGATGAACTGGCTGACTTCAGAAAAACCTGGGAAGACTGATATGGTCTGATGTTGAGTGAAGTGAGAAGAACCCAGAGGACTTTGTACACAATAACAGCCAAGTTGTACAATGACTAATATTGTTAAACTTCACTTACAAGGATCTAAGACATCTCCAGAGGCCTCGTGATAGAAAATGCTATCCATATTCAAAGAAAGAACTACTGAAGTTGAATCGCTATCACTTTTTTTTCCCTTCTGTTGAGTTTTGTATCCTCTATTTGGTTTTAATTTTTACTTGCAACTTTACTAACGTGAAAATATGTTTAATAGGAATGCAAATGTATAGTCTATATCAGATTGTGAACTGTCTTGGGGAGGGTGGGCGGGAGGAAGGAGGAGAAACATTTTCAACTCAAAAGCATATGGAAGTGATTTTGATAAATCACAATTAATTAATAAAATTAAAAAATAATAATTATACTAAGTAATCTCATTGAAGATGCAGTTTCTATGAAGTTAATCAAGAGAAAGTTATAGCCTAGAACACAATTAAATATAAGGGCAATTGAAGAGTATGACTTCTTTGGGATAGAGCTATTCATAAATGTGTTCAAGGAAGATATCAGAATGTAAACATTAAGTGTATGGAACATATAGTAACCAATAACATTTTCTATATAAGATAAAGTCAGTGTATGCTAAATGTATTAATGTTAGAATTGTAAAATGTTACAAGAACTAGGAATAGGAGGAAAAAGAAAAGTTAATTATAATGATTTGCTATTACAACATATATCTGCTTTCCTTCAAATACTCATCTTTCACCATGAGATATTTGTTTCACCTCATTTTCTGTTCATCAAAAAAAAAGGTAAAAATTCATCATTTCATAGGTAAGTGTAGGAGTAACGGCATCGCTTATCCCATCATTGGACTCAACCGTAATATTAACTGTACAATGTCATTTTCCTATACAAATCAACATGTATGACTCCATATACATTGACTAACAAACACCAACAAGTAAAACATATCCTTTTCAAGTTGACATTAGTTAGAGTGTCTGAAGGGCCAGAAGAAATCTGTTCATCTGGTTTGGAAGTATAGAGAGATATGGGCTCAGAACCTCTGTAGAGTAATGGGACTACCTTGGGGCCCCACAGCCCTATCTCTGCCCACTCTGGATGGGGTGACAGGAAACCCAGCGGTGTCTGGAGGCCTCCTTCCATTTCTGGTTTACTCTCCATGGAGTTCCTTCTTCCCCAGTCTGCCTGTCCTAGAGACATGTGTGGGGACTGCGTGGTCAAGCCGTGGCTGGCCACACTTCTGCTCTGAGGGAAGACTATTGTCAACAGCCTAAGGAACAGGCTGTCCTGAGGGGATGCTCTGACACTGAGATTCCAGCCTCGGGATGGGGAATTCCCATCTGCAAGGCACTTGCTCCCTTCTAACAATTTCCCAGCAGCCTGCTCTTCTCTGGCAATCAAGACTCTGATGCTCCAGGGGCCCTTTCCATTCTGACTTTGCCGGTGGCTGCCCAGGATCTAGGCCAAATGCTCCACCTCCTTGGGCATCCTCTGGCCCCCTCTCCAGCTCTGGATCTCCAAGACAGGGCTTGGGCTTGGCTCCATCTACTGCCCAGTGTACTCCCCCTACCCCCAGGCCTCCCTCAGCAGAACAGAAGGTGCCGTTTGAACAGCTGGTTTCCACCACAATCCTGCCTCTTTGCCCCCACTGCTCCAGCAGGTGGCTTCAACAGCAACCTCCCTGTGAGGAGTAGATAGAAAGCAAACACAGATTCAAGAGAAAATTGTATTTATTTTCCCCCTAGGCATGAATGAGAATCTATCCACTACAAAACACAACTAGAGAATTCAACAGTAATCTTTGTGATGGGAAAGAGCGAAGGCCCTCTATGGAGGTTCCTATGTAGAGCTCCTGAAATGCCAGCTTCCTGGGGAGGGGACAAAAGCAGAGGGAGCAGACGGGTGTGAGGGGCAGCTGGGGTCAGCCCCGCACCTGCTGCTGCTGGTCCCTGAAACCTAGAGAAGAGTGGGCCCCTCTGCTGGCTTCAGGACCCAGTGGCCAGCCCTGTGGTGTGAACCGCTGCCTTCCCTCCTGATGGTAAGAGGGAGAAAGGGCTGTGATGCCATTGTGGGCATCAGTGCTTGACGGGGTCCCTGCCCCGGGAAGCTGGGGCTGCAGTGAATTTAACTCTGGGCCTACAGGGAGGCAGCCAGAAATGAAGCCCTTAGCTGTTCTATCTGAGAAAAAAGACCCTTGAACTACATCTCTGTACCAATAGAAACACTTCTCTCTCTATGCATAATAATCTGAGGTTCAGTGGGCCAAAACATTTGCCTTCCCTCTCCCACACCAGCCTTAACTGCAAAAAGCTCCCCCCAACCCAACCCCTATCCCCATAAACTTAATACCTGCTCATATGCTAACCAAGCTCAAAAGCAACTAGATTCAGAGGTCAGAGGAAGAGCCTGAGGAGCCTCCAATGCCCTGTTTCCCTGTAGAGGCACTTGGGCCATGTGAGGTGCAGCTCAGGGATAAAGGGCAGCTTTGACTCAATGCCTACCCTACAAGAGGCCAGGCAAGGACCCTTCTCCTCAGGCTCCTGGCCAGTCTCCTCCCCACCAGAGCCATAAGCACTGGAGCTGATGGTCCCAAAGGAGAGACCACAGTGACTGAGCTTCAGGTCAGCAGGTGGAAGAAGGCATGGCTAAAGTGGAAATGTAGAGTCTCTGGGCCCCCGAGGAAGGCAGGAGAAACCTGGTAGCAGGAGTAGAAGGGAAGGAGCTCTCCCCATGGCCCCTGGCTGCACTCGGAGCCCCCTTCTTTGTCAGCTTTATCTAACCCACGACTAATGTTCTATCTAACAGTACTAACTTCCACTGCAGTGGAAATGAAACCCCAGTGGGTACAAGGGGCCAACTAGCTATGGCTACAACGCAAGATGACGAGCTGTTTCTAAATGCCACTGCAGGTGATGTTGGGTTAAAACTTCCCCCAAATCCAGGTTGTTGGCCTTGTGAGAAGCAAAGGCGCAGCCGGTTGTCTTCTCCATCTCTGAGTGGGCCTGGTGGGGCAAGAGGGCTCCACGAAGGTTTTGTCTCTGTCCCAGAAGGCACAGTGGGCAGAAGAGATTAAGCGGGGGCAGGGAGAACGAGGTGAGACAGCTGCTTTGTGGCGGCTGAAGGAGGAAGGGGTGAAGGCAGCAGGCTGGGGCGGGGCTAAGTGGCAGGCTTCCCATGGACCCTGAAGCGGTAAATGCACGTATAGTCAGGGTGACCCCAGTTGCTGAGGATTCGTAGCTCTACCAGCTGGTAAGGGGCTGTGTCGTTGCCCTGTGGGAAGAAGAGAGCGGGGTCAGGAAGGCCTGACATCCCTTGGTGCAAGCCCTGCCCCCACAGCCTTTGTGCCCCAGTCTTCCTTCAAAGAGCAGTGGCTCAGTTAAGTCACAAGGTTTTCCCTCAGCTTGCTATCAGATCCAAGGGGTCCTGGCTTCCACTGCAGCCACTGAAAAAGCACAGCAGCCCTGTGGCCGGTGATCCTGCCTTCCAGATCACCAGCCTTCCGGGGACACTGGCGGACTGCTGTGGAAGCCTCCCTGCATACCTCCAAGTGGAAGGTCTGAATGGCCTCCCCAGCATTATCGTAGGTGAACTGCCCGAGGGCCACCCCGTCTGCCTGAGAATCTTCATTTAGCCCCTGTACAGAAGGAAAAGCAAAGGGAGGGGATGGATGGTCAGATGAATGGATGCGAGGCCTGTGCACAAATAGCATGCTGTTAGCACATGAATCCCAATCAATGCAGGGAAGGAAAGGAGTGGGGAGGCTGTGGGGGAGGAGGAAGAGGTGGAGGACGACAGGCTGGAGGATGCAGTAGCAGCAAGATAAGTTGGGGAGGGGATAGGAGAACCAACAAAAGCCACCATGAGGTTGCCTTCCTTGATCCCCTCATCTGCTAGCATCTCTCTCACTAACTCAATAGACAGAGCCTTTGCCCTCCAAGCTCTTGGCCTCCCTCTCAGCTTCTTCCCCTAAGCCTCTGAATGGCTTGGCACAAGCCACTAAGTCGTGTGAGCCTCAATTGCTTCATCTCGATCTGGATTGGGATCCTAAAGTGTCCCTCTTGCCTCCATTTGTCACCTTCTGCTCTGGCTCCCTCTTTTCTCTCAAATCCTCCTCAGGTGGATCTTCCAATTCTGCCCTGAGTGGTGACTATGTAGGGCATGGTGGTCACCGTCCCAGACCAGCTAAACCATGGCACACGTGGCCAGGGAGGCAACTTGCTGTCGAAAAGGTCCTTGTGGTAGCAGTTTCATCTTGGCTCTTCTGGCTGCTGTCATTGTCCTTGCCTGGTTCCTCTTGAAGAAGAGGGGGAGGAGCAGAAGGGCTGGGCCTGGAGTCAGGAGACCAGCCTCAATGTCACACGTGTCAAATGGGCACACCGCCGCATTCCTCAGCTGGCAATACTGCTGTGACGAAGCCACTTTCTACCACTCTAGAAAGGAGAGCTGGGAAGCTCAGGTACTCACCAAGATGACAAAGTCCTTTGGGGCACTGGGGATGTCAGCGGTTGGGGACAGAGCTTTTGGCACGTGCTCCAAGGTGATGGCAGTGAGCTGGATGCGGGCAGACAAGCGCACCACGACGAAGCCCTGGTGGCCCCTGAATGCCCAGCAGTTGCCAGGGTAGACGTCTGGCTGTGGGCACAAGACAAGGCAGGTGAAAAGGAGGCAGCAGATGGAACAGGTCCTGGTGGTGGGGCCACTCTGCCCTGGGTGCCCAGCCTCGACAGAGGACGCTGACACATGCGACATAGAGAGGCAAGTTGGGGGACCTTTGTTCAGCGCTACCTGGAGGATGAGTCTTGGGGACTGGAAATAGCGCCACAAGGGGATGCCAAAAAGAGTGAAATGGCCAGACCACTCCGTCCTCATGCCATAGTCTGTGACGAGCGGCGGCTGACGATGCTGGCCCCTGAAAGAGCAACAGGGAAAGGAGTGGGGGAGACCTGAGGGCTGGGAGGACCCAGAGATGGCCTGAGGGAGCCCTCAAGGTGAGGGGCGCTGCCTGGCCATCAGCCCTCCTAACTGCCCCGGCCCATAAGGGGCATCTTCATTTGTCAATTCCTCCTGTCTCTTCAAGTCCTCTTGATTTTCCAATCCCTTTTGTCCCAAGCCCTCTGGCTTTCTGCAGGCCACCTACCTGAAGATTCCAGGGCATAATCCACCAGCCCGATGCGATCTGCACTGTACTTTTTCAGTGCCTGCTCTACGATCTGGTGTACTTCCTAAAAGACAGGCAAGCACCATTCAGGGGATGGGCCACCTGCAGGGCTGGCCCAGTCCATGCAGGGCCGGGCAAGTGAGCTACCTGGTCTGCCAGGGTTTCCCCCTCCCTCCTGGCAGCTCCTCTCAGGGCAAACCAGTGACCCCAGCCAGGAAGATAGCGAGTGGGGCAGACCTCACCTCCTTTGTCACCCCTGGTCACTCCTTCCTTCACAAGGCTCAGCCTCAAGATGGCAGCAGCTTTGCTCGCACACTTATCCTGCTCCTCTGTCACATACCTCAGGATTCGGTGCTCTAGGTCACGAAGCTGGGCCTGCACCTCCCCTAGCTTCAAATGAAAGACCTGCTGAATCCAGCCAGGGACCTTAGACTCCACCTAGAAGCCACCAGACGAAAGAGCTCAGCAAAGCCCTGAGCACCAGCAGAAATGAGGAAGCAAGAGGGCCTGGACAGGGGGCCTGGGGTGTCTAGAGTCACTCTGAGTTCTGGGGTCAGCACATGCCAGCTTGGTGTCAGGGAAGGGTTGGTGAACCAAGCGACTGGCATTTCTCCACTGCTTAATAATCTCATTGAACCCTCTAGGGGCTGTTATTCTCCCAGGTAACAGATGAGGAATGTCCTGTCCATATCACAAAGTCCACCCAGTAGGCCTACATGTATGGGAAGCGCCCAGTGGACAGCTTCGAGGGTGGTACCTCCCTTGGCTGACATAGCCCAATTTAGATGGAGAGATGCAGGTGGCCTAAGTCGGGGATGGGAGGACTCACCTCATTGCGCAGGGCCACCATCTTCTCTGGCCCAAGGTGTATTCTTTCTCCACCTCAGCCTGGCTCTGGCTCAAGGCCACTAGCTCCTGCCTCAGGCCAACCAGCTGGGCCTCTAGGGAACCCATCTGCTTTGGCCTTTTTCCACAAAGCCTTCTTGGGAAGAACTAGCCAATGACAAAAAGAAAGGGCAAGGTCAAGCTGGAGAATAGGCACTGGAGGATGGAGTCAAACAGAGGCCAGGAAATGGAACTGAAGGGGTTCTCCTGAACACAACCATGACTCAGTGCGAAGGACAGAGTCAGAGGCCTGGCTGAAAGTCTTTGCTGACATCCACTCCCTGCGAGACCCTGGGCACACCATTTCCCTCCCAGGCCTCAGTACCTTCAACTGTTCTCTGAGGTCTGCTTCAGTTTGGATCCATCCTATGCACATGCTCACCCAAGGCTTCTGGCTCCACTGACCACCGTCTCCCAGGGAATGTCACTTGTGCTCGCTCTGCTCTAGCTTTCGACCCCTCCTTCCCTCCTTTTCTCTTTGCCAGTCATTTGGGGGCCTTACCTGTGCCACTCAGATGTCTTGTGCACCACCCCGCTTTCCAGCTCCTGTAAGGAAAAAGAGGACACAATGAGACCGAGGAAAACACCAACCTTTACCCGGAGAATCCTAGAGAGTCAACGAAAAGAAATCGGTGAAAACAACGCCTTCAACCAAATTGCAGGATCGAAAAGAAACCCACGAAAACCATCAGCATTTCCATACATCAACTAAGAAAATCCAGCAGAAGAGATAAGATAGAGATATTCCATTGAAAACAGCAGTGGTCCGCATACAATACCTGGAGTATACCTAGCAAGACACACAGCGGAACTCCAGGAACACCATTACAAAACATCCTTCCCACAGAGAGACAAATCTCAACAATTGGAGATAGATTCATTGCTCATGGGTATGTCAAGCCAACAGAGCAAAGGGACCAAAGTACCTAAATTCACTTACTTATTCAGTGTCATACCAATCCCACCACCAGGAAAGTATTTGGGCAGCAAAGAACCAGAAACAAAGGCGAGAAGCATCCGCAGGGGAATGGCGAAACCAACTGTGGCTTATGGACACAATGAAGTATTCGAATGTTGTAAGGAAGCACAAGTGTGTTGTATACAGATACACATGACAAGACTTATATGAAGTGGGGCAAAGTGAGAGAAATGAAGGAACAGTACCAGATAAACAAGCACCACAGACAACCATGTAAATGGAGCGATTAAGCAACATCCCAGACTAAATGTTGTGAAAAGATCATGTCCGAGCGTGGCCCCAAAGATGAGCAAGGAGGACATTCTTCTCTTCCCCTAATGCTGGGCTGGGAGTCTACTGACATGGAATCTGCACAGAAGGCAGATCTCTGATGCTGAGTTGGTTGGTTTTCCTGAACTCGTTTCTTTCCCTCTTGTTTTATTCTTCTGCTTAAGGGATGGCTATGTGCGAAGGGGAGATGGAGAGGCTATACTGAGAAAGGTGGGGGATATGAAAGCAGAACGAGAAACTCTAAAGTCACTGATAAATATGTGTGTGTGTGTGTGTGTGTGTGTGTGTGTGTGTACTATTGTATAGATAAAGTTTGGTATGAATTTGGGTTATTTCTGTTCTTGTTTGAACTTTTGATCTGCCTGCAAGCTCATCATGGCTCCAAAACTCAAATGGATAAGCTGTTGGTGGGTAGCCAACATGATCTGCACATGGCCTTCATGTCTTCCCCCTTGGTGAAGTGTTCTAGTCTCCCCGGGCTCCCAGGTCCCGGGTCACCGCACCGTGTGACAAGGTGCTAGGGGAGGCCTCTTGTGGGAGGCAACTGATTTCAATTGAAGCGGGGGAAATGATGAGGCTGAGTTTTGGAGAGGCAGACATTGAATTGGCCAAGGTCTGAAAGTCAGCAAATGGCAAAGCTTGAACTTTGATCCTGTCTCCCACACTGGGTTGAGAGGAATGAAGTGGATTGTGAGCGGTTTGTCTGGCCATCTTGTGCAAAGCATTCCTGACACTGAGCTGGACACTGACCTGGAAATATGAGGGGGACTGTCCTGATTCCCAACGGTCCTCTGTCCTGCTGCTGCCCTTGGCTGCCCACCAGGAGAGCACAGCAGGGGGTAAGGTCTGTAGTCCATAGGGGTAGAAATACCAAGCACCTAGCACATGGGACAAAAGGCTAATTGAGGTAGAGGCTGAGGTGCCAGAAGGGCAAGAAGTCCAGGGTGAGGACTTCCACCCAGACAGAGTATGGCAGTGTCACCTCTAAGTGAGCTAGGACCCCAGCCCCAGGAAGGCAGATGCACTAGGGGTCACCTGATCTGGAAGGTATGGCTAGAGCCAGCTGCACCCCAAAGCCTTCAGGAAAAGGTTCCCTCTCTCATGATCCTCTCAGAACTCATGAAATCCTTTTGGATGAAGGCAAACATGAGGGAAAAGATTCATCTGGGGAGAGGACATGGAGACTGAACCTCCAAGTGCTGCCTTGTGGTCCCAAGCCTGCTCAACACATGGCCCTGTCCATTTTGAATGAGGACCAGAAAGCTCTACAGAGAGGCTGACTGCAGACAGCCCCTGGTGACCATCTGATTGTGGTGTCATCATTCCCTAGCTGGACTTGATGTCACAGTGATCAAGTGATCACTGTGTGATGTCATGGCTCCTGTCCAAGAGTGCAGCCCTTCTGGGATCATGCAGGGAGGAACGCCCTGTCTGTTGTCACCAACTTCAAAGGGCAAAGCCCTCCAGACCTGGCATTGGCTGTGTGTCTAGCTCAGAGAACAGATTCCTTCCTGACTCAGCTCCTCTAGCAATCTCCCAGCCTCAGGTGCCAGGTCAGTGACCACTGAGGGTGTAGAGAAATCACCTCCCTGCCCCTGACATGCTCAAGGTGGGCGGGATGGCCACCCTGATCTTGCAGCATGAGGCTGTGAGGCCCGCACACACAAGGTGTATGATAAAGGTTTGTTGGATTGGATGGAGAGGAGAAGGGGAGACAGGACAGAACTCTGACATGTGCGGCACAAGAGCTTGCCCATATGTGGCCTGGGTCCCTTTTCCCAGGGCTTTTGACCCTTTGGCTCCCTAAAGGCTGCCCTTCAAAGCTCTGTCTTCCAAACTTTGGCGGTTGTGTCCCCACGGCCTGATCCTTCCCGCCCATCTGGTGGGTCCACCCCGGGCACTCCACAAGACTCACCATAAGCCAGCGAAGCCATAAGCAACAGCAAGCCCAAGACAAAGACGAGCCCCTTCTTGCGAGTGCAAAACTTCCTGGATTTCGTCAGGGTGAAGGAGGACATGTTAGTGCCTGCCCTTCCCCACCCCAGGTTCCTGGGAGACCCTCCCTGATTGGCAAATGAAAGAACCCAAAGGGTGGGCCCACTTTTGCCCCTCCCACCTCCTCCATCTGCCACTGGGTACCCAACAAGAGGAGAGCAGGGCTGGCATGGAAAGCCCTTGGGGTAAAGTGGAAGGAGAAAACGTGGCTTTTTGGAAGGCACTCATGTTGTTACGCAAGGTGACGTGTTGCCCTTTGACAGGTGCAGTGGAAGGTATGTCCCTATCAGGCCTCCATCAGAACTAGGTTCATATGGTGCTCATGAATTAGGCAGTCTTCTTTTGTCTAAGTCCTTACAGTGCTTGTCAGTTTGGGCTTGGAAGAGCTGCAGGACGAAGCCCTGCTGAGGCAGGCTGGTCACCATTGGCCCAGCCTGTGACCCCAAGAATCCAGGGCAGGGCTGGGCCACCTGTGGGCCTCGAGGACACATGTGTTCCACTAGGTCCTCTGGTGTGGCCAGAGTTCACAGAATCAATTGATCTGGTCAAACTGGGATTCAGTCCAAGAGTCACCCCCAAGCACCTAGAAGGCCACATGTGGCCTGGAGGCCTCAGGTTCCCCACCTTTGCTGTAGAGGCTCCTGGACTCAGCCCTGGATGCCGCCTGGAAAACTGGCCATGCTCCTCCACAGAGAAACTGCAAGCATGGCCTGGAGATCTGGAAGACTGGGCAGAAAATTCTGGATTGGAACCCCAAAGGAGGGAGTGTCCTTGGAAACTCAGGAGCCTCAGACTAGCAGAGGTGAACTCACCAGATTCACTTGTGATCAGAGGCAGGAACTAGTGAGGGGAGAGCTCCTAAGAGATACTCAGGAAGAGAGTCCCACTTAGAGTTGGAGCCAACCCACTTCCCTGAAGAGCCAAGACGAATGGGGGCTGGCGTGTGCTCTGCAGGAGGGCAGGGCACACCCAAACCACTTCTCCCATCATCTTCTTCAGTGGAGACACTCAATGAAGCCCTACTTGGTAGCTGACTCTCAGGAGCAGGTTCCAGCTGTTTCCAGCACAGCCCTAGCCCTGACCTGAGTCTCTCATAAGATTCAGTGCATAAAAGTCTGCAAAAGCTGAAAAGAAACAGAGCAAAGCCCAAGGGGAAATTGACTTTGAGGACTGTGGATGCTAGATTGTGTCAGGCCCCAGGGAGGCCTCACTGACCTGATTGAGAGAAAGAAGTCCTGGAGGGAGGCAGCAGTGGTCACGCAGTGCCAGGTGTTTTTCAGGCACCACTGGAATGCTGCAAAGAGCCAACTTGTCAAGATCCGAGCAGAGGGATTCCAAGGCTTCCCCCCTGCCAGCCCATCCTTTCTTGCATCTACCCCCTCCCAGCCTGCCAACTCTGCAGCCGCTTCTTGCTCTTCTGCTCCTCCATCCTCCCACAGCTCTTCAGCTTTGCCTGGGGATATGTCCATAATAAGCCCATCTCCCCACAGTGTGCTAGAGTTCCTCCAGCCTGGCTCAGCTTGCCCTTGCATAGGCATGAAGAAGCTCTTCTAGGTACACTGCATCAGCGCTCCCTTGGGCACTGTGCCCACCCACTGGCAGAAGCCACCTGAAAAGTTTATTGCCATGCAGCTAAAAATGCCAACTTGGGAGGCACCATTACTGAAGTTGGATGCAGAGCCAGGCTGGTGGATAAGGGGGAGTGCCCTGAAGGGAAGGGAAGAAATGAGGATCCAGCCAGAAGGAGAGACAAGCACGTTTGGGATCTTGAGCCCCATCTCCACCCTCCACACCCCTACCTGGAGCTAGCTTACAGAGTTCTCTCTTTCTGGTATCTGAGAGACGCCTGCCCCACCCCCAGCTATGGACCACCCTTTGAAGGAAGTGGGGCAGTGCCTGGGGTTGGGGCTCCAGGGCAGAAGAAGTGATGCCTACCTGCACCATCATCCTCAGAGAAGTACCCTGAGGTGGATCCGGGGCTCTTCCAGCCTGTTACACCTGTTAGCAGGTGAGGGGCTGGTGAGAGGCCTGGTGAGAGGCTTCGGACCATACTCGACTTCCTCCTCACAGTCCTGGGGGACAGCAAGCATGAAGAGAAAAGATATGAGGGTGAAAAAGAAGACAGGTGAGAAAGAAAAGGAAGGGGCAAGGCCTGGAGGGGCATGAGACTTTGCTGGAGACTTGGAGGATGAAAGAAAATGATAGCCAAAGCCCTCTTTTGCTGTTCTTCTTCCTTCAAGAGATAACTAATTTTTCATACAGGAGGCAAGATTGAACCAAGGCCAGCTACCCCGGGCCAGTAAGGGCCTCTTTGCAAATGAAACCACCAAGATGAGGTATGACAGGAGCTAAGAGTCATCTGAAAATGTCTCTCACCCACAGGCTCTTCACCCACCTGGCTTCACCCTAAGAAGCTTAGGCCTTGGGGCCAGGGAGAAGAGGTCTATGGCTGAGAGGGCTTGTTCCCTGCCCAGTTTCAGGCCTCAAAGTCTCCAGCCTTCTCCATGCTCCAAGTTGCCTCTGGCCCAGTTCCTGTTCTCAGAAGCAGAAGGCAGCAGCAGCCAAAAGTTGGGGTGCAAGAGGGGGAGGAAATTCTCTTGTTTGCGGGGAAAGCAAGCAGTAGAGTGATGGCTCCACCCAAAGTGGGGGCAGGAAAGAAATGTGCACATGGCAAGAGCCAAGGCCCTTGGCTGCCCCGGGCCGTTGTGATGGAGAAGGCAGCTTAGTCTCCTCTGGCTCCTCTTACCTGAGAGGACCCTCCCTGAAGTTGGTGTGCTGGCCAGCCACCTGGGAACTCCCTCTGCTGCTGCTGCTGCTGCTTTGCCCATCAACAAGTGCCTGGTATCGGAGGCGCAGGCGCTCACTGCGCCGAGACATCCTCCAAGCGTTTGACTTGAGTAATTCTAGAAATTCCACAAAGAAAGAAGGAGAACCAGTGCTTACTGACTGAGTCACTTGACGCTATTTTCTGGGAGACCCTCAGACGGCACTGATGCTGCTGACCTTGAAAGGAAGGGACCACATTCCCCAGACTTCTTCCTCCAAAAGGAAAGATGGGCTGGCAGCTTCTCTCCTCCAGTGTTTCTGAAGCAGCTGCAAGGCTCATTCATGATGGCTGCCTACCACGGTCAACCTCACTAACCTCATGGCCTCAGCTCAGCCCTGCCTCAGCCTGGCAACCAAGTCTACTCTCCCAAAGATCCTGTGGCAGGCTTCCCTACTGAAGCAGAGCCCCCACTCTCTGCTAACTGCTTTCTGGATCTCCCCCTTAGTGCATCTTTATCCAATCTGAGCTTGTGACACTGGCCTTGTGTTTGTTCTCAGCTTGCTTCACAAACACCACTTTCTCTTCTCCCCATAGATTATAAGCTTGAGGGAAAGGACTGCCTTCTCTTCCAAGGCTTTGGCTTCCCCCACCACCCAAAACCCTGTTCTGGTAGGTGGAAGGGGTCACATGGACTGGTCCACGCTAACCACCTGATCCTAACCCTGACCCTTAGGCAATGGACTTCATGAGAATCAGGCCTAGCCCTCCAAAGACTTTTTATTCCTTCATTTCATCATCACAACTTTTAAGGAATATCATACTCATACTACAAATGAGTTAATGTTGACAAGTGGTCCCCCCCCCTCCAAGGCAGGCCCTAGGCCTTCCCACTGCCTTCTCATGAACTCCAACCTTAATGCCTCCTCAGGGATTTCTCAACTGTCAAGCCCTGTGCAGCTCCATATTGCAGTTTTGTTTTTGTTTTGTTTTGTTTTCTGTTGTGTGTGTTGTTTGTTTGTTTTGTTTTGTTTTGTTTGTGGGATAGAGAGATCAACTAGGGGGAAAAGAATGCTTCGCATTGGGGGATTCAAGTGAGGCATGGACACCCCTGTAGCTGGGGGTTTATGTAGGGGAAGTTAGGGGATGGAAGAGAGGCAGATGTGCCTTTGTGCAGAGGCTGTGCAGAGAAAAGAAGGGGCAGCCACTGTGTCGTGGCACACAGGAGGGAATTGTGTCCTCAGCCAGGGCTGCAGACATTGCAACTGCCCACACCTCCTCTGCTGTCCCTGTCCTGGCAGGGGGAGACCCACCCCCGTACCTGTCGACACTGCTTGCTCCCTGCCCTGGCGGCCACTTCCATGGAAAAGTCTCCCTCCCAGTCCTTTAGCGGAGACCCGGATAACACGTAAGGGAGCTCGTGGGGAAAGCGGGGCACGCATCAAAGGGGCCGCGAGGAGAGAGCGGGAGTGCACTGGGGCTAGGGCCAGCCGGGCCTTCATCCTGGGAGGATCATCTTTGGCCTGAGGCTGCCCCCCATTACACGGTTGCTTAGAAGGCAGCTGGACTCTGGTGTTTGCAGGAGGAGCACAGCCAAGGCCGGGCATAGGTGGGTAATGAACCCCATTCTGGGCAGACAAGAGGGGCATGTGCCACGAGGACACTAGGTGAGTCAACCCTGGGCACAGGGCTGTTGCCAGTCCTCCCTCTTCCCAAGCACACTCACGTACGCCGGTACACAGAAACAAAGGCACGCACACAGAGGCCACTGTCTCTCACACGTGTACGCAGGCACTCACAGCACTAGGCAAATCAACCAGACTTTGTCGTAGAGGGAGGTGAAATGCATGCCATTCCTTGGCGTTGGGACTTGAGCCCTGTCCTGGTCAACTCGATTTTCGGTTGGTTTGTTTGTTTGTGTGAGAGGGACATGAAGCAGTGGATCAAAGAGTCCTGGCGCTGAGGGACTCCACTGAGTCATGGACGTCGCTGTTCCTGAGGATTTTGTGGGGAGAGCTTAGGGGATGGAGCGGAGGCAGCGGTGCAAAGCAGGTGACTCTGGGGAGGGGGTCAGATGTGCCCTCGCATAGAGGAGGGCACGGAGCTTCAGAAACTCCACCTGTCTAACACCTTTTCTCCCGGCCACGCCATGCCACAGTGTGGCCCGACGGGGTCCCTGCTGAGACGGCTATGTCCACTCCCGGAGCGCCCCATCTGCATCAGCGTCCGGGTCCTTTGATGGCTACTAGAGTGAGGTCGGGGGAATGCTGGCGCGTGCCAGACGAATTGGGAGAACAAAGAAGGCGCGAGCTCTTGCTAGGGGCAGCCAGATTTGGATCCCGGCAGGATCATCCTTGGCCTGGGGCTTCCCCAGTTTAGAAGCTTTGCTAGAGACCAGCTGGGCACTGGCATTGGGAGGTTGAGACTAGGTATAACATGCTAATGAGCCCCATTCTGTCCCGACAAGAGGGGCATATGGGGCCAGGGCATTGGGAGGGTCAGCGCTGTGCCCTGGACTGTGGCCTGCCTTCCCTCCCCCCAAACGCAAATCGTTACGTACACACACACACACACACACACACAGGCGCTTACACCACTAGGGAAAACAAAAGGGCTTTGTCCGAGAGGGCGGTGGAAAGTCATGCCATGTCTTGGCATTCGGAAATGCGCCTCGGCCAGGACTATTGGATTTTGGTGTTGTTTGTAGGAGAGGGAGATGAAGCAGGGGCCAAAGAGCCTGTGGTTGAGGGACTCCGCTCAGTCATGGACATCGCTGTTCCTGGGGATTTGGGGGCAGATGTTAAGTGAAAGAACAGAGGCAACTGCGTCCAGGAGCAAGACTTTAGCGTGTAGATGAGCCCTGTGAATGAGGGTGAGCAGGCAAGAGGAGGTGCAGACACTGTTCCCCAGCACAGAGGAGGGCACGGAGCTCCAGACCATCCCCCTCTCTACCACCTTGTCTCCCGGCCACAATGTGCCCGGGCGCGTCTCTATGGGCTACCTGCTGATCCCGCTAGGTGTGCTCTCCGACCGCACCGTCCAAGTCCGCATCCGCATCCGCATCCGCATCAGCGTCCGCGTCCCTTGGTGTCTACCGTTGTAACGCCTGAAGAACGCTGGGCGCGAGCTAGAGGGAATGCGGGGACAAAGAGGGCGCGAGGTCGGTCTAGGCACAGCCAGGTTTTCATCCTGGCAGGATCATCCTTGGCCTGGGGCTGCCCCAGTTGAGAGGGTTTCCTACAGGCTCCTGCAGCTCTGAGAGTCTGTGTTTCTCTATGTAAGGAGCCTTATTGTGGGCATGCCCACATCACCTCTAATGGGTTTCCTGCACCAATGGTTGCTTGTAGGATGGGATATTATGTCTCTCCTGCTCACCCTTGCTGAATTCAGAGGATAAAAGGCACAGTTAACCACAACTTAGTGACCATGAACTGAACCAGTCAGAGGGGAAGCATTTCCTTCTCCTGGCCTCTTCCTTTGACTTCTCCTCAGAGATATGGGCCTGGAGCTTATTTTTTCTATTGTATTCCATGTGTTCTTCTCAGTTCTAGGTGCTGGTGGTGCTCCCCATCGCAGTTGAAGCCACAGTGACCTTGAAGCCGAGATTCCAGAAGGGATTTTGCAGGTGGCTTGCTGAGAATCTCATAAAAATTGGGTTATCTGGGACTGGAGCGTGGGGAATAGGGTGGGTCTTGTACCTGGAACTTGGGTCTAGGCTCTACAGGAATTAAGCTAAAATATATTCCTACTCTCTTTCTCCTTTCTAGAATAAGAGGTGGTATATTGTGGGGGAGGGGAGGATTCTGCCTTTCATGTGTTTGGGGAGTTAGTTTGTAAATTTGTAATTATATCTTTTTTCTAGTCTAATACCTCTGAAAGATCTAATTTGTCAGTTAGGGTCTAAATGTAAGAAAAAAGTAAATTCAAAAGTAAAATTTTGTATTTGGCTATAATTGTGATTTTCATCCTTTCATGTGGGCTTCTACAGGATATTGAAATATTGGCTGTTTGGAGAACTTACTAAATAGTGCTGGGGAAATGTCAGAACTAGATTTTTGGTAGGATATAACCAAATCCATTTTGTTCCATATTTGACATTCTTCTTAGTATGACTGAGGAATCAACCAACTGCAACAGCTGGTTCCCTTCAGTGTCTTCTTTGCTTCCCTAAATGGTACAAAAAGGCTTAATTCCTAAAAAGGCAGGACTTCAACAGGGTCTGGACTACTTCTCTGCCTTATCTTGCCTGACAGGTAGCTCCCTTTAGTTTACTAAAACTAACTATACTGATAAAGACACATCTCTTCTCTGTCTTCTTTACCTAAAGATATTCATTCTCTTTCACAATCATACTTCTTTTTGTGTGTGTGTGTGTAATCAACTCCAATTATATCTTCTATGTCAAGGGTATTAAGAACACAGTTGAGGTAGGTAGATGTCACAGTGGGTAGAGCACTGTCCCTGAAGTCAGGAGGACCTGAGTTCTAATCCGGCCTCAGACCAAACACTTGACACTTACTAGCTGTGTGACCCTGGGGAAGTAACTTAACCCCAATTGCCCCCCCCAAAAAAAGATCACAGTGTCCCCTGCAATCTGGACAATCATCACAAAACTTTTTGTCCCTGCTTTCCTGAGAAGAAATCCAAGTTTTGTCTTTTCTTTTTATGGGGTGTTTACCACTCTATTTCTTAGCCAGTACCAAATCATTTTGATGATTCCTGCTTCATAATACAATTTGAGAACTAGTATGGCTAGGCCACCTTCCTTTGTATTTCTTTTCATTAATTCCCATGATATTTTGGACCTTTTGTTCTTCCAGTTGAATTTTGTTATTATTTTTTTCAGGCTCTATAAAAGTTTTTGGCAGTTTGGTATGTCAGTGAATAAGTCAATTAATTCAGGTAGAATTGTTATTTTCATTACATCAACTTGGCATATGCCTCAGCAACGGATATTTTTCCAGTTATTTAGATATGACTTTGTTTGTGTGAAAAGTATTTGTAATTGTGTTCATATAGTTTCTGGGTTTGTCTTGGGAGGTAGATTCCCTAATATTTTACATTGTCTACCGTAATTTTAAATGAAATTTCTCTTTCTATCTCTTGCTGTTGGGATTTGTTAGTAATATATGGGAATGCTGATGATTTATGTGGGCTTATTTTATGTCCTGAAACTGTGCTAAAGTTATTTATTATTATGATGTTGGTTTTTTTTACCTGATTCTCTAAGAGATTCTTTTGAATCTCTTAGAATTCTCTAGGATTCTCTATGTATATTATCATATCATCTGCAAACAGTGATAACTTTGTTTCTTCTTAGTTTTCCTTAGAGTGAACCAGCTCTTCTACTGGGTCACAGTGTGTTGCCCTCATGATAAGTTGCTGTATTCTCTTTCCTAATGTTTTATTTAAAATTTTTTCATCTCTACTCATCAGGGAAATTGGCCTATAACTTTCTCTGGTTTGGTTCTTCCCCTTTTAGGTATCAAAACCCTATTTGTAATATAAAAAGAATTTGTTAGCACACCTTCATTGTCTATTTCCCCAAATAGTTCATATTGTATTGGAATTAATTATTATTTAAATGTTTAATAGAGTCAGTTGTAAATCCATCTGGCTATAAAGATTTTTTCTTAAGGAGTTCATTAATGGCCTGTTTAATTTGTTTTTCAGAAATGGTTTTTCTTTGAAGTGTTTTCAAGTATTTTATTTTCTCTTCTGTTAATCTGGGCAATCTACATTTTTGTAAATATTCATCCATTTCATTAAGATTGTCAAATTTAGTGGCAAACAATTGGGCAAATTGCTTTAATTTCCTCTTCATTGCTGGCAAATTCTCCTTCTTCATTTTTGATACTGGTAGTTTGATTAGGGTTTATCTATTTTTTGTTTTTTTAATAAAACCAGATTTTAGTTTTATGTATTAGTTCAATAGTTTTCTTACTCTCAATTTGATTCGTCTCTACATTAATTTTTAGAATATCTGAATTGATATTCATTTTAGAATTTCTAAATTGTTATTCAGTCAGAGGAAAGGCTGCAGGAGAATATATTGTGCTACAGCTGAAGTAAACAGCAAGGGCAGCAATCCTGACCTCAGATAAATCAAAAGCAAAAATACATATTATGTATGAAGAATGTACATTTTAAATGAAATAGATGAATATTTTTTTAAAAATACAATGGATTAACAGGAAAAAAAGAAGAGAAATTACACAATATTATGTCACTACAAGAAAATGAATGGGGTATAAAGAAAAATAAAACTCTAGGACCAGATGGCTTTATTTATTATTTTGAAAAATTTATTTTTAAGTTAATTTCCAAACATTCTACTTTCTTAAAGCCTACCCCTCATTCACTAGGCAAGTCATATGCTACCCATTATATATGCAAAGTCATGCAAAACATATTTCCACAGCAGCTATATTTTGAAAAATAAAAACAAAAAATAAAAGAGAAAAAATATACAGATTTCTTGCTTTAGTAATGGACACAGAAGTATTTTAAAGAGATTTTTAAGTAATGTGAATTTCTCCACTGACATGGGAGGGAAGGAGATAAATGGGAAAGGGGCCTCCATCTGTGAAAGGAGGGGACTGGCACATGGTTCAAGGACACTTGGGGTTTGGGCAGCAAGCAAGAACAGGAGGGCCTAGGGTCAGCCATGTGGAGGCCTGAACCAAGAGAAGAACACATGGGGCAAACAGGCAAGCAGGTGAAGGCTCTCTTTCAGAGGTAGTGACAGTTGTCTCTATGTCCTCTGTTCTTCTGCCTTTACTGACTGGTTTTATTGAGCACTTGGAGGTGAGAGAGACAGAGAGACAGAGAGAAGAGACAGAGACAGAGAGAGAGACAGAGAGAGAGACAGAGACAGAGAGAGAGAGAGAGAAAGCAAAGTACTTTACAGTGAAGTTAATGTATGTGGGGTTTTTTGAACGTAATGTCTTTAGAATGCTTATGTATGTAAAGTGTAATTTGTGTAATATGAATATATGCAAAGTGAGGCTATCTGTACTTCAGTCTTCTTTTGAGTTGATCAATTTTCTATCTAGAAGGGGATAGCAATTATTTCATGAGCCTTCATCAGAGTTACTCAGTCTTTCACAACTGATTATCTCTTACAATATTTTGTTTACTGTAGATTGTTCTCCTGTTGTGCTGACTTCACTTTGCATCGATTCATCTAAGTCTTCCCATGTTTTTGACCATTTAGGGAAAACAAGTGAATTCTAGAAAACATTCAAAGAATAACGCATTCTGATACCATTCAAATTGGTTGGCAAAATATAGAAAGAAGGCATGCTTCAAAATTTCTCTCATAGAACACAGGTGATCCTGACAACCTCAACTAGAGAGATTAATCAGAGAAGAAAACGATAAAAACTATCTCTAAAAGAATAATCAAGGAAAATATTGAATAACATGCTTACAAAGACGTTCCAGCAATATATTTAGAAATTTCCCAATAGGAACACATTGGATATTTATCAGGAATACAAGGTGGTTCACTATTTTACAAACCATCAGTTTAATAGATCATTAATAACAAAACTAATACAAATTAGATGATTACATCAATGGAAGTAGAATAACTTTTTGATAAAGCACAAAACTCAAGTTAGAAATACCATAAGGCATAGAAACGAATGGAGAGTTCTTTAATATGATAAAGTTATCTATCAAAATCCAAATGTAGCATAATCTGTACTGAAAGAAACACAAGACACCTTTCCAAGAAGTTAGGGGGAAAGAAAGGGTGTCTGCTGCCACAGGTATTATTTAATGTAGCTAGAAATATTAGGTATAACAATAGAAACAAAAAAAGGAATTTTGATAATATGCCTAAGCAAAGAGGAAACAACTTTAGAACTATTGACAAATTCTATTTTGTTTTATGTTTTCCTCAATCATTTTTCAACCATGTCTGATTCTTCTTAAACCCATTTGGGGTTTTCTATGCAAAGATACTGGAGTTGTTTTCCATTTCCTTCTCCAGCTTATTTTACATATGAGGAAACTGAGGCAAACAAGGTTAAGTGACTTTCCTTTAGATATGTTCTATCTAGAGAACCCTAGAGTTTCAGCTAATATTTATTGAAACAATAAGTAGGATTTATAAATCCTTTCCTAAAAG